CAGCTCCTCCAGCCCAGCGTGCCAGGCCGCCTTCGCCCTCCCCAAATCTCTCATGCCAGCAGAAACTCTACAGGCAACCACCGCTCTGCCTCCCTGAGAGAAAAACACAAATCCACCCAATCCTCCAGCAGTAAGAACCTGTCCATCTACACGGCGAGCACCCCATGGCAGGGCATCTCAGAGTCCCTTGGCCAGAAGGAACCTGAGGGGAGAAGGTTTTGGATCAACACCCAGGATGCAGAGAAGCCCCACGGCTGCAGGGCTGGAAGCTGGAGAGCAGGAAAACGGAAATGCTTCTAACTTCTATAAGCTTTTGCGTCCTCTTCTGCAATGCCAGCAGCCCTCCCACCACGCTGGGCACGGATTAGCCAGTAGAGCCTTGTTACGTGCACTTACAGCCTCCAGCAGGGGAAGCCAGACTCAGCCCCAGCACGAGCACCCCATGTCAAAAAACTAAGGGACAAGGGACAGCTGCCTGCAGAGAGATGCCCGCTTGGGATAAGGAGCTCAGCAGCACTGCATCCCCATTCCCACCCTGGAACACGAATTGTGGCACCTCTGGACCATCGCTCCCCAGCACCTTCAGCCACCCAGCAGAACCAGCAACCCACAGGGACCCCAATTGCACATGTGCCAGAACCCACTTCCCCAGCTCCCAGTGCCTCAACAGCAATTTCAGGACAGGTTTTGAACCCCCAAGTCCCAGGAAACTCCCCACAGCCCTACAAGCAGCAACAAGCCCATCGACAGCAGCATTCCCAGTTATTCAAAGAGAAACACAACGGCTCCAAGGACGCCTGGGCCAGCAAATTCACACGGGTCCCGAAATCTGGCGCATGCATTCGGGCTTCATACAAAGGGGATGCAAAGCAGCCTCCTCGCAGCATCCCCATCACGTCCCGTTTGACTGGAGCTGCTTTTCATGCAGCTGCCTTGAGAGGAAATTTAATTCATTTCCTAATTAAACACCAGCTACCCCCAGTACAACGCTCCCAAACGGCAGGGGGAAGGGAGAATCTGCTCCCTGTTATACCCCAAAAACCCAGCCCTGGGAGGCTCACACGAGTTTTACAAGGAGGGATGAGTGCTGCTGGCAAGGGGGGTTCTAATCTAGCACTAAATTTGCAACAGGGAAGCCTGGGACCAAGTAGCAAAAGTCTTGTCCTGGTAAAAGCAGCTCCAGCCCGTGCCAGGGTGCTGGGCTGGCTGCTGCTGCCCCGCAAACACCGTCCGGTTTGCATGAAATTCTCTCAAGACCCTCCCAAGCAGATAAAGGCTCCGGAAACAGGCCGGGGGCAGGGGAGGGGGGAGGAAGAGGAGCTGTCATGTCTCAGCACAGGGCCCCTGGGGTGTAAAACGGCTCCCAAGGAGGCTCAAAACCTCCACCCCAGCATTGCCCAGGGTTTTACAGGAATGAGACGGGAGCCCATG